TGCACCAAATTCGTCTTGGAGGCTTAAACGTCATCGGCTCGCCCGCGCGAACTCCACAGCATGTGAGTCAAATCACAACCAAGTTGCACTACGACTTTGCACCGAGTTGAATGCTTGGCGCATCCCAAGGAGGTTTGATGTCGCCGAGTGCGTAATCGTACTTGAGAGTCAGATAAATCTGATAACTGCTGTAGATGCTACTGGATTACTCCTTTAGTTTGATGGTTTGAGTCATGGGGCAAAGAGGTCTGTAACAACACAATTTTCAGTATGATTTATCAAAATTTTTTTACTCAATTTGGAAGTAAATCTGTTCATTTAGAAGCTGTTTGAATTACTGAAGTTTTCGTCTTCTTGAAGGTGGCGAAAACAAATTGCTACTGTGGAATGTTGGCACCGGTGAGGCTTTACTGGAAATCGCTGGTCATCCAGATCAAATCTGGTGCATCGGATTCAACTATGATGGATCCCAATTCGTCACAACCTGCAAGGTATGGGCTCATAGCAATTCAAATCTCTACTAGGAGCTCCCTTTCATTGGAATTCATAGCCCCTTTAGATGCATATTTTCGTGAAATTCTATTTTTAGGATAAAAAGATCAGGATTCTGGACACTCGTAGTGGAGAGGTGCTTCATGAGGGCATTGGCCACGAAGGCGTGAAACCGCAGCGGGCGATTTTTGTTCGTGATGGGCGAATTATAACCACCGGATTCACCAAGAGATCCGAACGGCTATACTCACTCAGGGCGCCGGTAAGAAGCTTTTGAGGTTTCTTGAGGGCACTGTTCGGTTTCCCATTTGGACTGAAAATGCCAGCTTGGTTACTGTACCCGAAAATGAAAATACATGTGACAGTTGATCGATCAGTAATGAGAACATTACGGCTCTCTCACTAGATAAAATTTGTTTTCGTTACTCAGAGAAAATAAAGAAAAAGTTTTCAGGATAACCTCTCGCAACCGATCATAGAAGAAGAATTGGATACCTCGAATGGAGTACTCTTTCCTTTGTACGATGAGGATACTGGTCTAGTTTATCTTTGTGGAAAGGTCAGTCCTCTTAGTCATGGACATATATCCTTTTCGCTGAACCATACAAATTCCTCATATTACTCAAGATGCAGACAGCTGTAACATATCCGAAACGTCTTTTTTGATTCATTGATTATCACTGCGCGCAGCCAATTAGCAATTTCTTCATGCATCTCTGAGATCAAAAGCCATTGATGATGATGTGGGAGTAAATACAAGAACAGTGCTGGATATCTTCCACTCTTTTTTTGGTCGCCATATTGGCAACCATCTGTCGGAACCGCTGCGCAGACGCACGCATCAATGATAAGGCCGCGTTCATAGTTCGCGACATGGGAGTTAGGATAGTAGGCGATAGGATATTAGGATAGTAGTAGAGTAGGAGATTGCGCTGACAAGATTGGATACGTATCGATTGAAATCGCTGGAGAGTAGTAGATTGGGCGACTTCAAGCGAATAGATCAATACATATCTAATCTTGTCAGCGCACTATCCTAATCTACTACTATCCTAATCTCCTACTCTACTACTATCCTACTATCGTAATATCGCAATCTACTACTCTCCAGCGATTTCAATCGATACGTATCTAATCTTGTCAGCGCAATCTCCTACTCTACTACTATCCTAATCTACTACTATCCTAATCTCCCCGTCAATACATATTTTTTCATTGTCGCGTGCTATCCTATCTCCGGAGTCGCGAACTATGGACGCGGCCTGATATGGGTTTCATGGATTCCTACTGGGAGACCTCAGTTTCATGGGGCTATTTCTGTAAGCTTTTAGTTCTGTCCACATTTTCTTACTATTCTCCGTAATTCCCGTGATTGTCTTCACAGTTGAGAGCGGCGCCCGCGCACTTCTGGAAGGCGGAGCGGGTTTAATGGTGTTGCTCGACGTCATGGGTGGACAAGACGCTTTAGAACGCTGGAAGTGTGGTTGAAGCCACCTCTTGAAGCCCCTTTACCAGTGACCTATAATGACGTCATCGAAACCGTCCGCCTTCCCGTCATCGCGTTCGCTGGATACACTCATGCACTTGAAAATGTGAATCGCAGCATCTCATCCTACGACAGGGTCAAAGAATAAGCTTTGATTAAGAAATATGTGAATAGAGAGTGGCGCCCGTCTTTCTAGAATACTGAGAGTTCTCATGAATCGGGTAGATTTTAGGGAGACTGTGCAATTCGCTACTACGAAGTGAACCTTGAATATCCCTATATGCACTACATCAATACCTACACTACCAGTGAACCACAGCGAGCCGTTGGATTTCAAAACAAACGAGGGGTCAATTCAGAAGAGAACGAGATAAACAGGTACGAGAGACGAGTTTTGCGATATATATATTTTTTTAATTGGCCGTCTTGTGTGTTCAAGAGCTACCTCTTGAGAAACTTTTCGGGCAAGACCAACCGATCAAGAGTAACTGCTAAGACGATAAATACACTTCCAAAATGCGACTTGGCACCTTATTGCATTACATTAACACTGCACTACCAATGAACTGCGGCGAGCTATGCAAGCAGTGGACATTGAGCCCACGGTGGTTTGAAGGCGCATTAGCTTAATTGAATAGGACTCGATTCTTGCCACCTAGGCATAATAGCCAAATATGATTTTTTTGAGTAGTTTTTTTTTCAGAATCTACAAACTGACTACAAAGGGTGTTGTCGATGTGTTACAATTCTTCGTCCCGAGAAAATCCGACTTGTTCCAGGTTCGTCGTCATTTTATTGGATTAGAGGAACGCAAAGGAACCAATCGGGTTTTCTAGATTTTTTAAGCAATGAAAAGTGTGCACTATTCCACCCATCAATACTGCCTCAAAATCGCAGAATTCTTTATTTTTCTCTGAAACTTTGCTTAGGGGTGCCCTGACTGCGAATATGCTATTTATTTTGAGGCTGGCGCATTTGGCGCCTAATTTTTGCTTGTCTCCACCCTTTTACTGGTTAGATTGCGCGGGACTAAGCCTTTGGGGAGAGGAGGGCTCAGTGGTGATAAGCCACTTACCCTATGACCTCCTAACATCATCTTTTGCCAATTTTTTTGCGTAATTCACTGATTCGAAGACCCATTTTCCAATATATTCAGCCTTAGGTACTAGAAGTAAGAGCTCAGGAAAGTCGAAAATATGCGTTCGTTAGCACCTATCCCAAAAACATATCCGTAGCCCATATACACAAAATTGAAGCGAATTTGGTGATAACAGCCGCTGTGCTAATTGTAGGTGGCCTCAACTGGTGCCAGTGCAAAAAATGCCATTTTCGTGAGGGCGTCATTACTCCTATACGCACAGTTGACTGCAAATAAAATTTTGGAGTTTTAGGGCAATAATGGTGGAGTAGTGCCAAAAGTGTTATGTTAGATGTTGTTCAGTATTGTTGCCTTCAATTGCTGTTTGAGATAAGATTATTTACTCCAACAAAATGTTTTTAGCACGATTTGTATCCGGACACGAGGTCAACAATTCCTGCTCTCACAGCAGAAGAATTTATGGACGGTGAGTGCTGAGAACTTTAAAAGGCAGCCTAATATAACGGTGCCCATCATTCTGCTCACTTTAGCCTATATTATTATAAATCAGGGGCCGCATTAAAAACTGCGGATTTTTTATGCTCTGAGCATTTAGTTTGCAGTGTAGCGCATGGTATATGGTAATCTGAGTACTAGATCTTGATTACTGGCAGTTTTTTCAACTTTTCAACAGCAGACGAAAGCATTGATTAGTAAAACATTCTCGTCAATAACAGATTAAAACGTTGGAAATCGCGCATGTATTACGTTTTGCGGACGCGTGTACTTCGGTGGAATTTTTCAGGAATCTTAACAAGCAAATTGAAAAGAAAAACCTACTGTATGGTTCCAAATATGGGCTGTAAGGTCCTAGGTGCTTGACGGACTGCAGCCCACATATGGGCTTCATGGGCTCCAAGGTGTTAATTGTGACCAAGTGCTACCGTAAGAAAAATCATCTTTGTTGATCTGAAGCAAATGCTGGTCGTCTATATCGAATGACCACTTAATTACCCTAATTACTGACAGCAGTCTTCAGCGGCGGCTTTGGCCTTTTGATTCCATTTTTTATAATGAGTCCACTTTGCATCACTCTACACCTCACGACTGGGAATAGCTCGCTTTTGTCGCTTTGGAATCGTTGGAGCTGCTCTACACACACTTTAAGTTGTAGTGAATTCAGTGTGGTCCTACAGAGAAATCATATATTAAATTTAGCTGTTTTTGTTTTACAATTTATGAGTTATTATGATGGATACGCCGTAGCTCAAGGAATGACTTCGAAATTATCTTTTTGGGCTTAGAATCTCAACGTAATAAATAAGGTGGGGATGAGTCTTTCTTGGCCAAAGTGCACCTGATTAGCCTGCGCTTATTAACATCACGACGTTTTTAAGGCAAAGTTCGGGCTCAGACCCACTTAATGAGCCTTTACGGTGGCTAGAAGCGCTAGGTACGCAAGTGTGGGTCGCGTCACTTCCCTACTTCGAAAAGCGTTATTTAGACGCTAGGCGCTAAGAACTTTGACACGCTCCACCTGCTGCGACACGCTCCGCCCACCGCTCGATATCTTGTCTGCGTCGCTTTGATCTGCTATGCTCTCTCTACTCGACTTCTCTAGCGCTCTCCGCGCTCACATTATCTCTCATCTCCCTGCCGGCCTTTTGAACTTCTCCGCAGCGTAGAGCAAAAGGCTCGTATTTCCTGTGTATTTCACGATTTTTTTCTTTTTCTCCACTGGCGGTCCACTCCTACCCCTACTTTCACATTTGAGTGGAATTACCTCATAAGTTTAATCCTGAATTTTGCCTTTAATACAACCCCTCTAATATAAAACGATCTCGGGCGGTTTGTGCTACGGTATTCCTTAACGAATTATTTGATTTCAGGAAAGAATGCTGTGCCCAATTTAATGGCGGTAAACCCAGCCGCAGCACAAGCCAAGCCCAAAGTTCAGGTTGGTTTTTGCAGCTTTTTCTCATGAAATTACCGTTTTGTTGAGCTTCTCCTTTAGGTGGCAAAGAAGGCCAACATTCTAAATCAACTTGCTCCTACTGCGTAAGTTCCTTTCAGTTCCGATGCTTTTTCTATGTATGCTTCCTGGATGGATTCACGATTTCTTGAATTTCAGCGCTGAAACAGCCTCGCAGAGGTCTTCCCACTCGGAGCAGACGTCGCCTCAAGTGTGAGTAAAACAGAACGTTTATCGGCTTTCTCAGAAAGCTTTTCTGGCTAGGTGTGGTGCTTAAAGTTTGCTGTGAAGATCTGCTCCGCCGTCGCCGCGACATCAACAACAGCAGCGACCGCCAGTGGTTGACGATGACATGGGAATCGTGCCGATGAGCCAGGTGAGTTGTAACGGTGTGACAAATTTCACTTGATTGGCATATCATGAAAGATGGAATTACCAAGTAATAGTTCAGATGCGACAACGCTCACCGCCTCCAATGCAGTACCAAGAACGACCGCGAAGTCCTGAACGGAATCAGAAAGTACCGAAGCAGCAGGTGAGACGCCTCTGAATGGATTTTCTAATCTTTCTGAATTCTGAAATTGCATTTCTCAAAACTTGGAAGGTTCAAGGTGAACCTCCGTTCTCGTGCCGACAGGGATATGGGCGGCGGTACGCAGACTGCAGGGCAAAGACGAGCCGCTGCAGAGCTTGAAAGGATCAAAAGGGATCAGGTAGAAATTGTAACAATTGGAACAGTGTATCGCTACAAATAGAATCAAGTCTGGAATTCAGGCTCGCACCGCCGATCCTGACGACTATATTCCTTCACCAACTCGAGTTCAAACCAGTCCTTCTCCTCGGATGAGCATCGGCAGCATGGAGGTGCATAAGTCTTCCTACACGAGGCCTTCAGCTATATTATATTATTTTTACTTGAAATCTCAAAATATTTGATGTTGACCATCCCTTGAGATCCACCGCATTCACTTTCTGTTGAGACTTGTGGTGCTATCAGTGCTATTTGAATGCGGTTTGGCATTCACAATGAGTTGCAAAAGCCTACCAATGTAGAAGTCAGAGTGTTTACCCTCTCGTGCCACTTAGCAGACCTCGGGGTCTGAACTTTAGGCTAGGCTAACTCCACTTGGATCTAACTTCGCCAGAATTTTGGTTTTTGCTCATAAAGTCGCGACTTTCCACCACATCACTTCCGTCTTTTTAAAATTTTTGATTCAATTGCACTATTCCAACCCCACTGGAAGCAAAGCTGTTGAAGAATATGTTTGCCTTTCAGCAGTAATTGGTAGTCCTGATCACGGGTTACATAATTTTGACGGCGGCGCCATTGTCGAGTATGGTTGACTTCACGAACTTTTTAGTTTAGTCAGTTTATAACAAATTTAATGTGAAGTTGTTGTGCCGAATGGCACTCGCGCGAAAAGTACCTCTCATATTCGTGATTAAGATCCCCAATAACCGCTTTAGTAGAAGATTTAGCGAAAATAGTTCTCTTGCCCCTTTTCATCCCACTGAATTACCAAAAGAGCAGTAGTGCTCTTCGTGATATCCATGAGTAGAAACTATTTTGTTGTTGAGTTTATAGTCTTTTCTCGAGCACCACAAGCGTCAGTAACATATGTAAAGTGTAGGTACTTGGCTAGTTCACAATCCTTCTTTATCTGAACTACTAACTTTGTGTGAAGGTTTGTCTGTCGCTCGGTATGTCGGTATGTCGGTTGGTATATCGGTCTGTGCTGTTCGTCCAAAAAATGTTCTTGGGTGTGATAAGCTCGATCTTTTGTAAATATTCTGACAAAGGATCGGCCTGCAGATCAGCTCCTCGCTCACCACTCCTTACCACGCTCCGACAGCTTCTTCATTCCTTGTCCCTGAATGACGGAGCTGGGGGACTAAAAGCAGAGTTTACAATGAAACTCGTAGCTCATTGGAAATGATGGGGCAGATGTTGATGTCAGATGAAGCAGGATGAGAGGAGAAACGCTGAAACGGTTCCAAGATCATGAGGAAGTAAAGGGAGCTCCTCTTCATTCCTTGTGCATTGATGCGACTGTCATCGCTGTGCCCTTTTCAACACTACGCTCTTTCTGCTAACTAATCCACTCGCCACGTATAGACCTGCGGCGAATGGTTGGGAATGGTCGGTGGGGCTACCCAGTTTCATCCTTTCTCTTTTCGGGTTGACTTTCGTTCTTATCGTGAATTCCTCCTTTAAAGTACTCACCGGTACTCCTCGAATACCTCCCAAAACTGATTCTCCGTTTCAAACTTTTCCATCAGTAGGCGCTGAGAGTTGGGTGTATAGGCAGAATTTCACTCTTCTATTGAGGATGCGTAAATGGACAGGTTACTCCATGAGCGACATAGCTCTCTTGATTCAGGTTCGATTCCTCAAGGGAAAAATTTACAAAACGGAAATTTACAGCCGTCCATTATGGCATTTTCATTTACGATATGATCATCGTTCATGCGAAAAGGAAGGCCTCCTTGCGTTACTGGGGAAGCATTAGTGGGATAAAAATCACGACTGCATGAGTGTATGCTGTGAACTGCTTTTTACGTTGATATAAAGCACACTCGTTAGTCCCAAAATGTCTAAAGGCAGTGGGTATATTGCGCACTGGCGGGAGTGGCCCAACGGTATTTTTCCCCCATAAGGCCGATGTCATAGTTTGCGAATCGAGCGATTCGCTAGCGAATCGCTGGATCCGAGCGTTGCGCCAGCGAATCGAACGTTGCACCAGCGAATCGAACTTTGCGCCAGCGAGTCGAACGATGTACCAGCGAGTCGAACTAGGTACCAGCGACTCAATAGTGGCGGGACCCAACGTTTAAAGGAAGCCCGCCACTTTCAAACAGTGTCCACTGCAAAGTCCCGCCACTTTCAAACAGCGTCCACTGTCACGTGACACTGTTTGAAAGTGGCGGGCTTCCTTTAAACGTTGGGTCCCGCCACTATTGAGTCGCTGGTACCTAGTTCGACTCGCTGGTACATCGTTCGACTCGCTGGTGCAAAGTTCGATTCGCTGGCGCAACGCTCGGATCAGCGATTCGCTAGCGAATCGCTCGATTCGCAAACTATGACATCGGCCTAGATTGTCTGCCGGGCTCCAAGCCACCGTACTCACTGCCTTTATAAAGTAGACTAGCGAGGCCTGCTGGTTATTGAATTAAAGGGTCAACAACATTGCATCCATTAAGGTTCTCAATGGGTTTAAAATTTATAAAGTAGGTTAAGGGGACAAGCAATAATCATGTTAGTGCTTTTATCCTTCCAGACATATGTGCCACCAATTTACCGACATCCGAGGGGTGGAGAATTTGGTTGGCTTGGATCGAGGATTCGAACCATCCATCATGTGAACCTAAGGCGGCGCCTGTAGCCATTGTGCTCGAGCGTCTTCTTTATTTCATTTTCCTTTGCTAGGAATATGTCATTTAATCATCTGTAATTTTTCAGGGTCCGACGAATATGGAGGAACTGTTGTCCGATCTGGCCAAGATGAAAGCGGTCATGCGACAACACGAGAGGAGAATTCGTATATTGGAAGAGGAAATAGCTGAGAAAAATATGAGCATTGCATATTCATTTTGATGAGAACTATAATTTGTATAAGAGATCCCAGTGCCTTACACTTCGAACATACTTTGACGCGGCATTTCTCAAAAAATGCGTATTGATTATAGTGATGACATGATCGATACGCATGCGCATTGTGGTGTCGTGGCGAAGGATGTCCGTCGTCGTATATGGGCAGTGTTTTTTCAATGGTGAATACACTGCGCAGATGCTCAATCTCAATGCCTTATAATGTTTAACAGAGGTGCTATTTGTGTACAGTACAGTGTATTAATGCTGATATGTATCATTATTTCTTGGAGAGTATTAATTAGATAAATGATATCGGTTTTTCTTGCCCTCAATGTTGCTCCAATCAGTTGCGATACACCTCCTCACAAGCCACGCCCACATGGGCTATACTGACAAGGAGCGCTGGGGCTTTTTCAAACAAGCTACACACTTGAATCAGTGAATTTAGCTCCGGCTTGGGACCAGAGGGCTCCACAAACCGCGGTCTTTAAAGCAACAGTCCCAGCAGGGTCTGCTACTAATGGCACTAAAGGATGCACAGGCCCTATTGGAGAACATCTAAAGTGTAGTTATAAAGAAAACTCACCTGGGAAAAGCCAAAAAGGGCGTTAAACTCCTCAAAGATGGGTGTGGTTGGAAATTTCTTCGGGACCGCCCACTTGCCAGCCGTGATTGGCTACGGAGGCATTCGTGCTCGTTTTGGGACCACAGGGAGTATTTGAACTCTGTCCTTTAAAAATCAATGTGATCCTGCCTGTTGCACTGGAATTGTTTCTTTTTTTGTTGTGATGTTGTTATGTTATGTATAGTGTTATGTAATTATGTTAGTGTTATGCAACTGGAGCGCATTTAGTGCGGGCAAGTTCAGACAACTCGTCCAACGCGCGTCTTCCCACATCGCTAAGCGGCAGAGGGGAGTCCCTGTTTAAAGCCCTGTTCGGCGTTTTTCTTTGGTTTTTTCGTCACTATCGGTCAAATTGTCGCCTATAACTACATTATCAACGGTATTTACCCGCAAATTCGTCCTGGGATTGTTGCTTTAAGGTGTTAGGAGATCGATTTTTTGATAGATCGAATCTTAAGGCACAGGTCGTGATCGGATTGGTGTTTTGTGTTCGAAAATCAGGCAAGATTGTGAAGTGGATAATAGTAAAAAAAAAGCAAAAAGCACCATTAGAGATGCTTAACTTCTCCTTGTAAGGTCGACCATGGTATGACGAAGGTGTTGCGAGGAAAGGAAAAGGCGAGAAAGCACGTCGTCCGCGAGAAGGCGCAGACGCCAGGTGTCCTGCGTTTAAAGACAAGATTCGGGATAAAATAGGTGTGGAAAAGCGTTCAGTTATGAAGCTATAGGTGGGAGGTGGTCTGTAAAAGAGAAGGAAAGCAAACGAAACCACCGATTACGCCCCGTACAGAGACCTCCCCTATTTCAGCCACATTCCACCTTGGGATAGAGAAGGGCGCGTTGGACGAGTTTCACGAACCTAACTCTAGTTGCTCCAGTGCCAATGACATTGGATCGCAATGGGACCGCTGCCTCAAATGCGCCCGCGCTTTTCAAGCAGCGCCACGTGGCAACCGACAGCGGAGGGTGGGGCTTGCGGACGAAGGTGTGAGTTGCGGGTCGGACGAGCTCCTTGCGCCTTTGTCGCGCACTTTCAAGCCGCAAAAGGGGCGCGACATCAACACTTGTCCACCTGCCTACTACCCCCTGGATGGAACAGGCGAGCCGCCTAATCGCGGAGCGTGCCTTTAAGAACGGCAGCGGTCAGGCAATGGCCGCTTTCTTGTCGAGCACTTTCGGATCACGACAGCAGCACCACCCCCGTGATTAGAGGTCCCAAAGTGATATCTTATTTGAGGAGAGAACTTACAAGGATAAAATTGCGACCTGTGCCTTCAGGTTCGCGTTCACTCTCCACTTTCACAAATTAAGTGGTCCGCAGATATTGGAAAGGAGATTTATTGATTGGGAGATTAAGAGAGTAAGTAAGAAAAAAAGGGATCCCGCTGAAGAGACCACACATGCACTGTACACTCCTTTGCATATATAAGTCCACCTGGAGAAGTTCTTGAAAATTCGCATGATAGGGTGTTTCTGAAAAAGCCTTTGAAAGAAAAATGTGCTCAATATAAATATAATTTCGAGTGTAAACACCAACTTCCATTTCGAAAACACGAAAATTTTTTATTTTCATTTTTCAGAAAAGGGCCACTTTGCCGATTGTGCAAAAATATAAATCCACCCCATGTTTCTCGGTTGAACTTCATTGTTATTTGGCGTAACTGTCAGGTTGTTTCCACTTCCTCTTTTTTAGGTGATGACGAAGTAACACCGCAAAATTCACGGAAAAAGTGAGGAGATCCACAACACAGTCACACTGCGCGTAACATGAGCTCCGTTTGCGTGGATTCTGAGAATTTCTTCGATAATTCTGCAGCATTTGGAATCAAGAAGACATCTTGACCTTTTTCTTCACGTTTCAGTTGCGATAACCGTCGCGTTATAGAAAAAGCAACCAATTGTCCCAAGGGGGGCTAAAGAATCCAGCCTTTAACACATTGGCGACAATGTCGGCCGACGCCGGGCGACGAGTTAAGCCGTTCAGACAGAGCGAGCACCGAAGTGAAACGTGAATTATAATGTTCGCTGTAGTCACGTACAATGCG